CAGAATATCCCTTGCCAGCTGAATGCCTGCGCCACGCTGATTCATTTCCTGACCTGACAACGGCTTGACCCCGATCAACATGTCTATTGCTGATTGACCGTATATGGACAGAACACAGGTGTTTGGAGTTTGGGCGACGTTGTAGAAGGTCGCCGGCCGGGTCTCCTCGAAATGCAATGTGAGAAATAATTCTTTCTTTGCCATTTCGAGGAGACCCGGCCGGTGACCTTCTACAACGTCGTCCAAACTCCGCTATCGCACGCACGTATACTGCCGCTAGAATAAAACTAATTTTCTCTAGCAACCGAAGTCTCCGCCTTGTAGGCAAGGATAAGCAGCCGTTTCAGACCTCCCCAATACGCATCTACGCGTCCACTTGCTCTTGTTGAACAGGTTATAGTGATCGAACAACAACGCGTCTATCCAAGCGGATGCGAGAACACCATCCTGCCTGGCTATATCGAAGCGAGGAAAAGTCCATTTCTAGTGCCATTGTGGCTCAGTAGGTTGACACCAACCACCAGGTGGAAGTCAACCAAGCATTCCGTGTCATATCTAAAGTTCCGGCAAGATGCTCCAAGTCCCTACGTCAACAGATAATTGCGACAGCGGAGACAGTGATCATACGACTGATAAATCCAATCTTGTGCCCTCAAAAGGCCTTCATTAAAGCCCTCCTACTACCCTGGTCAACGCTTAGTCATGAACATTCCGACACGCACCATGACACGTCGCTCCACAGCAACGAAACATAAGCACAACTCAACCAGACTACGTTACCTCTTCCCCCCCTCTCCCCCTTCCCCTACCACTGGCACAAACTGGACTATAATTACCCCCGCTGCCCCACAAATCTGAACACATTTACCCCAAGTTATGACTACTGTTCGTAAATTGTTTTACTCCTCATATGTCACTGCTCTAACTAGACCTACATTAATCTACTGGCCTGACGAAGAATAATCGAGAACGTACGTTCGCCGACTTGAACTTCCTTAATGTTTAAATGGGCATCATCATAAGACAAACTGAACACTTCACAGTTTTTGTCTACTTGTTCTAAGACCCACTCAAGGGTCTATTTTACTTACCATTAAAGTACGCTCATGGATGCCAAATAAAATACTTTATTCCGTAAACCACGAGAAATGAACTGCCGCTTACGAAGGGGCACCCAAAAAGATAATTACTCCTTATAAATAGGTAGGTTGGCCGTGCTGCCCTCTCTCGCTAGGTACGTTTGGTAGGCACTCTTCCTGCTCTGCAAGTCAAGTAGCGTCTATAAGACACCATCCCAGTGGACGAAGTGGTCGTTTTATCAATCCCTCTCCCAACGATCTCGGCGATTTTGCAATAACAAACTTTAAGGAGCAACAGGCCAACGTCTAATGTTGACACCTCTCCATGATAGTTTGTTTTTTTTCAACCACAAAAGGGTCGCTCACCTTGAATTTGCACTTCCTAACACCCTTACGAATAAACATTACAATCTGCATGTGCCGAGGCAATCGAGTGAGACAGTGAGGAAAAACGGCCTGAATTATGGTGGTTGGGGAACCGGCTACTTTATCATATCAACGCGCGCGCGCCACCCACATAGTGCCCCAATTCAACCAGTTTCTGACGAGAAACGACATGGCTACACATTCTTGCCTTTCTTACTCGCCCAACCTAGACCCCGCGACTTCCCTTTCCCAAGATTGAAGATATCTTAAAGTGAGTGCGTTTTCAGAACGAAGAAGAGGTTAAGGAAAAGTAGATGAGGGCACTCAAAAGCAATAGCTCAGAAGAATATAAAAAAATGTTTTGAAGAGTGAAGAAGCCGTCGTAACAAGTACATATTGTCTGGTAGACAGTATTTTTAAGGGACCAATGTTTTAAAGTGTTATCTTAGGCGAAAGAATTAAGCAGATAATCCTTGTTTTGTGTACTTCTCGTATATAGCGGAGCTGCCCAGGCCAACTTGACCTTTACGTATATTAATGCTCAAATGCCTATATTTAAAATCACCAAGTCCAAGACGCTGGTTTCAGAATGTAACCTGTATATCGTCGCAACAACAAAA